GAAAACCGAACATGGAATTTATTGTAATATCTACCATGAGTGTCCACCACTTGTCTTCAACGCTCAGAAAATTTCTTGATGCTCCTTTGCCAAAACCCAGCGGAGTGCGGGTCGAGAAAGGAGGCGACCTCACTTTCGAGTTGGAGTTGATCGTCTAATTATTTCGTCATCAAGATGATGATTTAAGGTCCAGGATAGGTGGCAGTCATTTATAGCTCGACCAGGGGAATACGCTAAGAGAGGTAAGAAATCTTGCCGCAGCTCCAGAATTTCTTACCGGGCTCATTTCGGATCATGGTGATTCGCAATGTCATGAAAGAAATAAATATTGTCGCGGTACGAGGGCTCCTGACGAGCTGCCTCGGCCAGCTTCTGGAGTTCGCAGCCTAGACCTCTACCTACACAATGGTGCCCATAACGAAGAATTTGTAGTGGAGCTTCCGTAAGAGCCCTGTAATGGAGTGTGCGGGACGCTGCTGGCTTCTTATAAAAATATCAAAAGATCGAAAGCGCTGGTAAAGGTGAAACACGCTGTAGCGGTGAACGACATGCCTATTGAAGCTATTGCAGATAGTGTTGGTCGTTGACACGAATCCATAGTTATGGAGACATTTGTACTAGACAGTGACTCGGAGTATGGATTTACTAGTGGTCGAGGTTTTTGAATTTTCTTGGATAACTACTGACTGCAGCACTTATATCCACCTCGTGGATTGAAGCCTCGAGAATGCTCTACCATTTGTTAGTCATAAATGTTACCTATGAATTTTTCAGAAAAAAAAATTTTAGAAAGAGTGTTGCAGAACTTTCTTTCCAACCTAATATTATAATTACAGAACCCCGTCTCGCCCTGGCAGGAATGCTTATAAGCAGTATGCCAGAAAATGATCTTAAAATCGTAACGACGCGGATGGAGCAAGAGCTAATGGAATCTTTACCACGAGAGTATTGATTCACAGATCTACTCCTACGTATGAAATTATGATCCTATGTTCCAAAAGGACTTCTGGGATTTTATCAACATGGGCCTGTCGGTTGGCCAGCGCAAATTACGCAAATTCCCAAGGTCAAATAAGCTACCCCACACCACCATATAGCACTAGGGATCAACTACAGCCACATTCTCTGTCAATCAGTCTAGATTTACCAAGAAATAGCCATATTGCTGTCTCACCTGAACGTAATTGAATCGTTGCTCAGAAGTGACATTCTTGTCACTGTAGTAGATTGAAGGGAACAGCGCCGTGCTTGCATTGAAGATATACATCATGCTAAATTCCTTGTGATTTCTATAGCTAATTCATGAACTACTCATGTAGAAGCCTGTTTCTAATCAAAATTCATTGCACAAGCAAATGGTTCCAGGGGGACCAAGTGGCCCCCTTGCAATGTAGGATGGTCGCATGCACCACTTGCACAGTTCCAGGGATCATACCTCAGGTGTTCTCGGCTGAGGTCAACTCGGTCTTCCGCCGCTTCCCGTCAACCGGTATAGCTTCCACAGGAAGAACTCTTCTAGGTGCTATGTTTATGGGATCTACAGCGAAACCACGAATCGCTGTGTGGGCTAAAGCGCTTTCAAGTGCTACCACGGTGTGGAATTGGAGTAGACCGTGCCCATCAGTAAAAAGGATTGATTCCACCAAAAGCTACAAGTCACGATTTTTTTGAAGTGATGTGACGCGACAGTGACACGGCAACCGCATGACAAATTTCATCATCACGGCTATGATCTCTCTTCGTAAATGTTCATCATTTGCAGATATGGTTGCAATATTCAAGTAGTGAGTACCGCTTCTTTGGAATAGATAACAAAAATCAAATGAGAAAAGCTCCTACTCGTCATTGAACTGCTGAAATTCCTCAGAGCAGTTGTACTCTCCTTTTTTTCCTGCGTCGTAGTTGCAATACGGGAAGCCATAGAGGCCCCAAGACGCATTTGGACGTAGCTGTTTAGCTCTTTCAATCGTTTTCAAGATGAAATCCCTTAATCAGATGGGTTTAGAACATCAATGTAGTGAAGCATCATTACATGGACGCCTCATCGCCAACGCGTCGAATTATGACACCATTTTTTACGTTAAAATCGAATTTCGCTAGTTGCAAAGCCCAGCACTTAAACAGGCGCAAAGAGTAAGGAAATAAATATGAGGCCAAAAACTCGCCCCGTAATTCCCAGGGTTATAACATCTGTGAAATGCTACAGGGAACCTTTTCAGAATGATTTGAAACACGTCTGTCTGCTGATGAATGTTATGGTTATTGATAAAATTCATTTCGAGTCAAACTTTGTAAAATTTGCACTCACTTAGCCGCTTTATTGAACTCCTCTTTCGCGGTTTTATTCAATTGTTCACCAGTTAAGTTCGTCGTATGGTTAGATCTGACGATTTCGAAGGAAGCATTTTGGTACACCTGCAATTCAAAAAACACCCCTAATGTTGGTGTATTGGCCCATGTTTTGTGGGCTAAAATTTCAACTCAAATATATTGCTCAGTAAACAAGAAATCTAACAATACAGGGTAGGGCATTAATACCTGGTAAGGGTGAGGTTTGAAAAGGGCATTGTGCACCAACAGACAAGTTGGTTGACCAAGTTCAAGCTCGACTTCTTCCATAGATTCAGGCAAGTGGTAATGGTGTTTACATTCCTTTGGGCTAAGCAATCCATGGGAAATCTCACTTCTCAAAACATAAGGATCTTGGGGAGAAATATGTTTATATTCACAAGTTTTACAGATTCGATGTGCACGTATCGTAGCTGTATAAAAGCTTCGCCATATTACCCCTGGGCAGATTTTCCATCGAGATTTCATCGGGACTCCATCCCCACAGATTATCCGGTAATTCTGGTCTGGCAGTCAATACCATCAATACTCGTCAACGCCTCAATAGAAGGGGCGAACCGTCTCGGCTGTCTCCGCGGCTTCGATCTCCCCGCCGATAAGCTCGCACCACTGCGAAGCGTGCTTCCTTCCCCAGGCGGGTAACAGTCTAGCCCTTTTCGCTCCTGGTATTCATCAGACTTATATCTGTATTCAGGTCGAGCTCCTGGCTACCACTCCAGCCGACTCAATAGACGCTGTTCGGTTTTCAATACTCGATCCTGAGGTCTGATTTCCGCGGATCCAGCTCAAGAGTCGGGACGGACGACGCTACCTGCCACCCAATAGAAGAAAGAAGACCGGTGCTTAATTACTCTTCTATCCTACCGGATCAATAAAGGATTAGTATTATTCTAGTCTATTACCTCAATACGCGTGGCCAGTGAGGATCTCACTGTACGGCGAGCAGCTACTACACATGTCACGATCTCTTCTGGCAAACACTTTAGGCTGCTTTCATAGTTCGCGCCGGTGCGGTCGGTGCAGTCGGTGCCGACGCAGGGTCAACCCTGCGTTGCGCAAATTCCAAAATTTTTACGACCCCCTTCCTTTTCGGGGGTATCGGTACGACCCCCCATATTAACTATCATGTCTTTCACATAATTTAATGCTCATCAATGCTCATCAATGATGGCAGTCACCAACAT